CCTCATTTACTACCATTGTTGCAAATGAGGAATATAAGAATATATTCAGATAACTGAGGAGTAACCCTTTAAGTGCTGACTCTTTGCAATTTTAATATTTTTTTGGAGGGAAATCTTTCTAAAATGTATTGTATGCTTCCATAGTATACTGGAGAGTATTTAACTTCTTCTTGGTGAGTCATAGTCATCAAATCATTACTCCTTTTGTACCATGGTATGGTGCAGCAATGTCACCAGAAGCTATCAAAATGAACAGAGCTTGGCTTGGCCTTTTGCAGGTTATTATGCTCTTCTCATTGCTGGTTTTTTACTGCTCTGTGCTCTATCAGTGGAGCTATCTGAGGCAGTTGTAGCTTTGGGGGCCTTTTACCCTGGTGACTCCCCAGTTGTACTTTTTAAATGGCTTTAGCTGTTTTTTGTCTTGTGGACATGACACAAAATGTGTTCCTGTACAACATGGGGTTGTCACCTCTTGCCAGTCTAGAGCCTCTTCCTCTTCTAAATTGCTTTCTGAGGCATCTACTCTTCATCCCCTGTTCTCTGATGGAAACAGGTTTCCTGGGGAAGCCAGGACGCCAAGTATTTCTTATGTGTCAGGTTTGCTTTGCTTCCAAGGAGGAATGCATGGGCTTTTTGGCTGCTGTTTCCAGGAGGTTGAATCTCCTGCTTCTTCCCTGCCTCCCCCTGGGTTCACAGGTGTTTCTGAAGATTGATGTCACTGGAAGTCTGACCACAAACAAGTTGGCTGTTATTGTATATGAAAACCCAGTACTTTTGGCAGCTCACCTCTAACCAGTAAAATCAAGAGGATTCCACTGTTTCAGCGGTTGTCCTGGTTATTTGCCTACTTAAATGTCTGATGGATGCTTGGCATTTTGACCTGAAAAGATGAAGTTGTATTGGATGGCTTCATAGTGACTGAAAGGAATTAGGCAATTGCTTCACCTTTTTATGTACTAAAACCAAAACAATAGCATCATAAGGTCACACAACACACATCTTAGGTTCAGGGGGAAAATCAGTTTGCTAAATAATCATTCCAGAGTTAGGGCTGGCCACAGACTCCTGGTGGGCATGGTGGGACACTGCAAGGCCTGGGAATCCTCAGTCCACAGAGTTTATAGACTGTGGACCTCACAGATCACTATGTTTAAAGAGTTTGGAAATGAAACCCTTGAACATTCAGGAAATCCCACCAGGATGTATCCAGGATTTTGTACTCCCCAATAGCACAGGAATATTCTGATATCACTGTTATCTGTCTTTCACCATCTCAAAGATCACAGCTTTTTAAACTATTCAAATAAAATTCACCATTTTAACCATTTTAAAGTGTGTAATTCAGTGTTTTCTAGTATATTCACACTGCTGTGAAGATATTACCACTATCTAATTCCACTGCCGCCCTCATCCCCTGGCAACTACTAGTCTCTATCTATGGGTTTTCTTATTCTGGACATTTCATATAAATGGAATCATACTATGTGTGGTCTTTTGTGATTGGCTTCTTTCACTTAACAAAATGTTTTCAAGGTTCATCCATGTTGTAGCATATACCAGAACTTCTTTCTTTTTTTTTTTTTTTTTGGTACTGGGGATCAAACTCGTGACCTTGCACTTGCAAGGCAGGTGGTAGCACCACCACTGAGCTAAATCCCTGGCCCTGTTCCTTTTCTTAATGGCTGAATAATATATCATTGTTTGGATATACCATGTTTCATTTATCCATTCATCAGTTGAGAGATATTTGGGTTGCTCCTCCTTTTTGGCTCTTATGAATAATACTGTTATGAACATTCATGGGCAAATTTTTGTGTGAACATATGTTTTCAGTTCTCTTGGAGTTGTCAGATCATATGTCAGCTGTATGTTTAACTTTCTGAGGAACTGCCAGGATTGCAGCTTTTATTTTTTATGAAATCCAAAGTACAAAATTACATATACTAGTTAGAGGCATGGGCACATCTATCACTGGACAGACCCTGAGATTCAGCACTGATATGGGGAAGTTTTAATACCAGAAAAAAATATTTTTTTTAAAAAAAAGAATGACTTTGATGAGAATAGAAAATAACAGTCCTGTCTTTCTTTTAAAAATAAAAGTGATACCAAACTCTGATTCATCTCTAACTTCTTCGAATAGCTGACTCTTGTTGAGCCAGGAGACTCAGAATATTCAGACAAAGTTCTGCCCCAGAAAGTGTCCACAAATGAGAAAATCACAATAGATTTTTGCCATCCAGTGTGTTCACCTTAGTGGGGACCACAGGGTCTTCACAGACCTGACATATAACAAAGGAAAATGCTGAGGGTCCTTTATAATTTGTGTGTGTGTCTTTTGCTAAGGCTTGAGTCCCAGATCTGACATGTGATAGATAGGCAGTCTACCACTGAGCTACACCCTAACCCCTATTGAGGGTCTTTTCAGGGCTTAAATCCTGTAAGAAAACATAAAGAATAAGAAAACTCTGAAAGACAGTTTATATGGACCAGAGAGGATCTCTTGAAATTCTAGGGGCCAGTTCCATAGGGAATTGCAAACCTGAGGAAGTTTTAAGATCCAGGAGAGGCATCCAGACTTTGAATGGTTTATAAATGTTAAGAATCTTCTCCTTAGAAGAATCTATACATTACAACTATTCTAGTACTTTCCTAGGGCCTCACACCACCCTTGAACCTATCTGTGGCCTCCTTTGAGTCCATGGACTCCAGGTCCTTGACCTAAGTAGATAATCAAAATCCACAGATTAAATATGTTAGGATATGATTGTAAGCCCTCCTACACACACACACACACACACACACACACACGTGCACACAGAAAAGCCATCCACTTTTTTTTTTTTTTGGTACCGGGGATCAAACTCGGGTCCTTGCGCTTGCGCAGCAGGCGGCAAAACCACTGAGCTAAATCCCCGGCCCCAAGCCATCCACTTTTATCAGACCAATTTACCAGGAGATAAGTGACCTAGTTTTTATTTACTTTCTATTTGGGTGTCATCACTGTTAAGTGTAATTATTGAAATGAAAAGAATAAAAAAGAAAGTGATAGGTAATAGCGTCAATTCCCAAACAAGGTGATTAATACTGAAATCAGCAGAAGTCTGATGCTTCCTTTTTCTTTTGGCTAAATATTGGTCCATTTAAAACTGTCCGTACCTTCCCTCATGAAGAGAAAAAGAAGAAAAGAGAGGAATTTCAGAGTTTGTTTAGTTGTGTTTTTATGAATTTCAGTTTTTGAAGAAAGAGTTGTGGGGTTTTTTTCAGGATTACACTTGAACAGATTTTTAATATATTGAAATGGCTTTTAGATTTATTTTAGATTTTTATGTACCACCAAGCTATGCTCTTTGGGAAGGAGTCTTATTGTTTGGTTTGTTCTATTTTGCAGTACTGGGATTGAACCCAGGGTGTTTACATTGAGTTACATCCTTAGACCTTTGTAATTTTTTATTTTGAGGCAGGGCCTTGCTAAGTTCCCCAGGTGAGGCTCAAACTTGCCATCCTCCTGCCTCAACCTCTGAGAGTGCTGGGATTATAGGCATACACCATTATGCTCTGCTTTGTTTTTTTGTGATTATAATTTTCCTTGCCTTTTCCAAACACGATATATGTGATTTATTTCATGCAACAACTAGTATGTTGGAGGACCTAGTGAAGCTCAAGGCTTTCACGAATTATGCTTTGCTTCAGCTGTCAAGATCAACATATTTAAACTCCATTTGGAAAAGTCACAGTTAGCTGATAGCCAACAGCAAACACCTGGCCTTTGGGTGTCCCAGAACATCTCCCTGTCCCAACAGAAGTTCTCCTTTCTTCTGGACAACTGGGCTATAAAAGGTTGAGGTCACTAGTTTCCTTTGGAGTATTAATGTTTTGTAATTCTTTGCCCACTCATGAATACCTTGAACCCTTTTGATCGTTATTATCTTAATCTTCACTGCACCATGGAGATGATTGATTGTGGGCAACTACTGATTACCACCCTGGGGCAGTCTGATTTCTAGGCTTGTATTTGGAATCTCTGTGCTTTTTTGCCTCAATAATTATTTTCTTTGCTTATGAAATAAAACAGAAACAAAATCAGGTTCAAATGCTGGCCGTACAATAGCAACATGAAATATCCCTAACACAAATCAGCTTAGCAGTTTGTATTATCATCCCAACAACAGTGACCATAAAAGAACCTTGTATATACTAAGTGTTTGATGGGAGTACCTGGATGGCTGAGTAAGTAAAGGAAAGTGAATTATAAGTAGCCTCAGACATAGTATGGGCATGTTAGGGCCCAGCTGTGCTTGCTGAGGGGAAACAATAAACCAGTTGCCTAGCATCAAGAGATGCAGGTGATTCCCCGGGCACCAGGGACCTTCTAGTTTCCTCTGCCTCTGACCGCGTCAAGTTACCCATCTATGTACCGGGAGCCTGCGATTTCAATTTCCTTCGGTAATGAATCCAAGAAAAAATAGGTTTAGTAAGTTGCTTTATGTAAACTAGGAAGTGCAAGAACAAAGTGGAGGAGGTGACAATTCTGACAAGGAGAATTTAGGGCTACTCTCCAGAGCAGTGCTTCTGAAATGGGATCCTGGAATTTTGGGTAAAACTCAACTCCTGCTTCATTCGGGGCTCTAGGGTGGGTTGAGATAAGTGATGCTCACAAGCTCCTAGACGATATTGCTGCTGCCGGTCCGCGGAGCACACTCTGGGTAGCAAGGGACCAGGAGGACTAACTCTGCACAGGTGGGAGACTGAAGGAGGACGCAGAGGGAGGTCCAGGCGGTGGGAGACGGGAAAAATCTAGACAGTAGAAAGCAAGCAGCCGGGAAGGGGGTGGCGGCGGGGAGGAGGAGATGCGGGGAGCACGGGGGAGGCTGCGGGTCTGGAGCGAGGATGCGCAGAGCGAGCGGGTGGCTGTCGTCTCCGCGGCTGCGCGGGCGCGGGCTGGCGACGGCGACAGCGGCTCGGTCCCAGCCGCGCCCGCGGCGCCCCGCTGCGGCCGAGCGGCCTGGCTGCGGGATCCGTGTGCAGCGATGGCGTGGCCGCCCCGCCAGTGCCCGGGCCCCCGGGCGCCGCTGTTCCTGCTTCTGCTGCTGCTGCTGCTGCTGGCGGGGCTCGATCCCTGCTCCGCCAGCCCCGCGGATGACGGCGCGGGCCCTGGGGGCCGGGGACCCCGGGGCCGTGCGCGGGGGGACGCGGGCGCCGACGAGGCGGTGCCGCGCCACGACTCCTCCTACGGCACCTTCGCGGGGGAGTTCTACGACCTGCGCTACCTGTCGGAGGAGGGTGAGGCTGCAGGAGGCCGAGGGCCTGCGGGAAGGGAGACCCGCGGGCTGGGGACAGAGGGGCGCAGGAGCGGGACGCGGTCGGTTGGTGAGGGTGCTGGTAGAGGCAGCTCAGACCCCCGCCAGCGTGGAGGAAGGGCTAGGAGAGCTGCAGGCGCATGCTGTCCGCTTTGCACTTGGGGAGACTGAGGCACGGAGACGGAGGTGACCACTCAAGTCCTGCGAGGCCTTGGACAGGGTGTGCTGTCCCCCCTCCCTCCGGCGTCTGGCCTCTGTCCTTCCTGCGGGAGAGGAGGCCACCATCTGGCCTGAGGTGTGAGAGACCAAGGCAGCTGGTAGAAAAAGAAACCCCAACTTCCAGAGATGACCTACATCTGTGGCCCCGCCCCATCTTCTTAGCGTTCTGTTGGTGCTCACTGCCCTGGCGCCAGAGCTGGGTCACATCTCCCTTCCCACTCCCAGCCCTCTTCTCTGTCACCACACGCACAGTATGGGCTCCTAGTGTGAGCCACCACTGTTGGGGCCATGTGGGTCCAGCTACCGAGGGACTGTCAAGCACCAGCCTCCCTGTAGGCCAAACTGACTGGGTTCAGAAGGAATGGAGAGTCGGGTTGTACTTCTACAGCTTTGGGAAGTACTGATCTTCCTTTTCTTCTGCTAAGAGGGAGATCCAGGAATCAGTCTGGGGTTTGAAATGTTGATACCTGCTGGGATGTATTTGTTGGTTAGGATTAGGTCTGCCTCTATACAACGTACAAATGTTAATACCATTGATATGATAAAATTTCCCTCTCATGTAAAGAAATCTAGAACTAGGGAATACAGAACTGGTATGGAGGCTCCATGGCCTTCACAGAACCTGGGTCCTATTCTTCTGCTTTTTCATAGCATGTGCAGTGGACCCTTGACTTACAAACTCAATTCGCTTCTAAGGGCTGGTTGTAACTCAAGTTGGTCAATTGAAGGCTCGGGCTCCTCTACACAGCCTTCAAAGTCTCTCTCCTGTATACAGGCAGATCTCAGTGTCCTTAGAGAGACACTGGCCCAGGATTTCTCAACCCCACACAGGAAAGGATGTTGTAATGTTCCTTCCAGAACTCTTTAAGGGTTAAATCTGTATCTGAGACCATCTGGAAGCACAAGCGGCCAGCATTTGGGTTGTAACTCAAGACTTTGATCCTAAGTTAAAACTGGAATTCCAGTTGTGACCCAAGTTGTTTATATATGAGGCCAGTCGTAACTTGAGGGTCCACTGTAATTTCATAGTCCCAAATAACTGCTGGAGCTCCAGCCATTACATACACATTCCAAATAGTGAGAAAGAGGAAAAAAGGACATTGACTATCTTATAAGATTACTCAGAAGTCTCATATAACAGTTCTACTTACTTCGATGTGTGGTCACACATAGGAGACTAGAAACAAGCCTTTTAGCCGGGGCATGTATACCCAATTAAAAAATTGGAATTATTATACTAAGGAGGATAGAGAATAGCTTCAGGAAAATGCATTGGTTAGGTACAGGCTTAACTGCTGAAACAGAGACTCTAACACGCAGTGTCTTATATAAGACTGTTTTTCTCTCAGGAAAGTGTCTGGCTGGTCCGGGCTGAGAAGGCAACTTTGTTCCACATGATCATTCAGGGATCCAGGTGCCTTCTATCTTGTTCTTCCACCATCCCCTAAGGCTTTGTCCTCATTCCAGGTCGCTCATGTGGCCTTGTTCAGAATTGAGAGAAGGCAAGGAGAAGTTCAGGGGAAGCAGTTACCTTTTAGGCTGGCTGCACAATCATGCTGCTGCTCATGTCATTTGTCAAGAACAGAAGTGCATGGCCTGGTGTCAGGGGAGGCTAGGAAGTGTAGTCCTCTTGCTGGGCAGCCATGTGCTTAGGAAGAAGGGGTAAATGGGTTGGGGGGTCGGAGGACAACAAGCAGAAGCAGAGTCTGTCACACTGGAAAAGGATAAATATTCCAAAACCTATTTCTGAGAGCATCTAATGCATATTTATTCTGCACACAGCCAGCATAGTAGGGCCAGGTGACTTAAATGTGACATGGGAGAGTTTATATTCTGATTGCCACATGTACCTAACAAGTGAAGAAAAAAAGCTCAGATTCTATTTGTCAGTTTGTACATACAGAGAGAATGAACTATTGCTTACGTAGTGCAGACAGTTTTATGAAACGGCTTTGTAGAGTCAGGCTGGGAAGTCAACGAGACTGATGGGATGGGAGAGGGAGGACACTTAGGTGAGGTGACCAGAAGCTAGTGGCAGGGCATATACCATGTGTGTACAGATGCCTGGTTTGTCTGCTTTCCCTGCCTACCCATTCTGCATACACAGTGGGCTTAACCTTCCTAAACTCCACCTCTAACCTAATTCTGCTGGTGGTTTCTCTCTCTCTCTCTCTCTCTCTCTCTCTCTCTCTCTCTCTCTCTCTCTCTCTTGCTCTTTCTTTTTGGTTTGTTTGTAGTACTGGAGATTGAACCCAGGGCCTTCACACTGAGCTACATCTCCAACCCTTTTTTATTTTGAGATAAGGTCTTGATAGGTCTCTAAATTGCCCAGGCTGGGCTTGAACTTGCAGTCTTCCTGCCTCAGCCTCCCAGAGTGCTGGGGTTACAGGCATGCATCACCATATCCAGCTTTAAAAATCTGTGTTAGTTTCCATCTGCTTCCTAGAAGAAGCTTCAGCTCCGTATCTGTAGTTTTCTTTCTGGTCAGACTTCCCTTCAGTACCATCTCTCACCCTTTTTCTTCCCTACCCTGAGCTTACACTTCCCATTCTTCTTTTGCCCTCTCCTCTGTTGCACTGTCTTTCAGCTCCTCCCACCAGCTGGTGGGTGCTGGTGGGGTTGCCTGTGGGGCAGGACCTCTGCTAGGCTGCCTGGATAGGACTTGCCCAAGGCTCTCAGAAATCCTCAGTGAAGCTGCCTGAAAGGCGGATGGAGAAGGGCCTGCCAGAGAGGGAGAGGCAGAACCTGGAGAGGGTGTTCTCGGAGGCAAAGGAGAAGAAAGTGTCAGGAAGCAGTGTCCCACACCATGGTGAGGACTGACAGCATGAAGACTCAAGGTAGTCCATGGACTCCAGAGAGGAGAGGCCAGGGCTGGTCCTGTCTAGAACAGAGTCAGTGGGGAAGGGAGTGGCAGGTGAAAATTATCAATCCAAGTGTGCTTCTCTAGTGATCGGAATACTGGCTTCCTCTATATATTTGATAGTATGAAACCAGAAAAAAGAATTAGAAAAATAGGGGTAGGTATAGGGATTTCCATGAGACTTGGGGAGAGCCCACTGACCTTTACCTACCCTGTCCAGAGATTCTTTCTCCAATGTCCAGATTGCTCAAGACCCCCAAATCCAGAGCCTATGCGCTGGCTGATTTGGTGTTTCTGATCAATCCCTGCCCCCACAATGTGTTCACTTTTCAAATTTAAATTATGTATTTGTTTCACTATGCTAGTTTTCAGAATTCCACTATCAGTCTATACTACTCATGTTCATAGTCCCAGCTCAAATGCCACCTTCTTCAAAGGGCCATTCCTGACTTTCTCCTCTCCCGGCCCCATGCCACTAGATGAGGGTCCTAGATGAGCACACTGTCGAGTCCTGCTGTGACCTTTCTGTTTTCTGTGCCTAGGAGTTTGGATAGGATCTTAGTGCTTGAATATTACTATTCATATCTCTTTCCCTTGAGGTTTTCAGCCCAGAATGGGAAACAAATTACCATTTGATTATGGGCAAATACCCTACCCTGAGGGTTCTGTGGAAAACAGACAACTGAGTTGAATGTTGGCTTATCATTGTACTGCATCTTCCATGAATCTAGCTTATTGAAGCTAACTTTTCATAAATGTTTACTAGGTGCCAGACACTGTTTTCAGATGTTTTATCCACATTAATCTTTATAACACCCCTGTGAGTTAGATACTACTATTATCCTCACTTTAGAGTTAAGGGAGCTGACCCACAGAAAATTTAAATATTGTAGCTAAGGGCACACAATTAGAAAGTAGCAGAGAACTGTGCATTTGTTGATTGACTTTATGGATAAGATGGTGCAAGGGATGTGTCCATTCTACCTAGAGTTGAGGGCCCCTGTTGACAATATGCTGGGAAGTGGAATTGGAGCAGTGGAATTGGGTATTTTTATGAACAAACTTGAAGAGTTTGGAATTGATGTGGTAGGCAGTTAGAAACTACAGGTTCTAAGTAGCAGAGTGCTACTGCAAAGGCTCCATTCATATGAGTGTGAAACTTTATACAGACATCATTCACTAAGTCATTTGCCATTTCCACTTCATTGTAGGGCTCTGATTAGTAGAAACAGTGATTCAGCCAGTCCAGAAAGAAGCTGATGCAGTAGTTTGCAGAGATGAAGCTGAAGGTATGGCCAGACAATTTCTGGTTAAAAATTGAAGGAATCAAGTACTAAACTGACACCAGAAGGCTGTGATCCAAGTAGTTAATTAGAAGCAATAAATAGCAAACCAGAAGCCATTAACCACCCAGTAGAGTATGAAAAACGGGCTCAGGGGATTGCAGGAAAGGAATAGTGTCTGTGAATTAGATAAGAATGGAAACCACAAAACCGTATTGAGAACCTCGAAAGACAACCAAGAAAATTACTTCTTCTTGTGTTATGGAAATATCTGACGGGAGGAGATGGTAATAGAGAAGAAGTAAGGGGAAGAGAAAAGAAGAAAAAATAATTATTTTCAAAGACAGAGAAGCATAGGTAGGATTATAGGGTCTATGTAAAAAGAAAAAAGGAGAGACTTTTAAAAGAATTTTTTGAACCCCACACCAGTGTTATTTTGTACCACTCAGGTTTTTATATTAGAAGAAAAAAATGTAGCATCAAAATAGAAAATGAAATGAAAGGAACAAGCCAAATGAAAAAGTGATGAAAAATGAGAGACTAGACAAAAAGTTAAAGGGAAGGGGAAAGAAAGCCTCCATATATGTGTGGCTCATCCACATGTCTCAAGATGGAGGAATT